TCGAACCCGCGGGCTCAGGCAATCCACTCACCTTAGCCTCCCAAAGGCGTGGGATTACAGGCTGAGCCACCGAGCCCAGCTAGTTTTTAATTTTTTTGGTAGAGATGAGGTCTCACCAAGTTGCCCAGGCGGGTCTCGAACACGCGGGTTCAGGCAATTCACTCACTTTGCCCTCCCAAAGTGTGGGATTACAGGCTGAGCCATTGAGCCTGGCCTATGTATGTTTTTATAGGTGTTTGAGATGTCTAAGACTGTGACATACGAATGTGGTTTTTTTTTTTTTTTGAGTCAAGGTCTCACTCTGTCACAAGACGGCAGTGCGGTGGCACAACCTCGACCTCCTGAGTTCAGGCAATCCTTCTGCCTCAGCCTCCCGAGGAGCTGGGACTACAGGAATATACCACCACCTCTGGCTAATTTTTTTTTTTTTTTTGAGTCGGAGTCTCACTCTGTCACCCAGACTGGAGTGCAGTGGCCGCTCCCGGCTACCGCAGCCTCGACCTGCTGGGCTCCGGCGATCCTTCCGCCTCAGCCTTTCGAGTAACCAGAATTACAGGCGTGCACTACCACGCCCGGCTGATTTTTTGATTTATTGTAGAGATGAGGTCTCGCCAAGTTGCCCAGGTGGGTCTCGAACCCGCAGGCTCAGGCGATCCACTCACCTTAGCCTCCCAAAGGCGTGGGATTACAGGCTGAGCCACCAAGCCCAGCTAGTTTTTTATTTTTTTTTGTAGAGATGAGGTCTCGCCAAGTTGCCCAGGCGGGTCTTAACCCGCGGGCTCAGGCAATCCATTCACCTCAGCCTTAAGGCGCGGGATTACAGGCTGAGTCACCGAGCCCGGCTTTTTTTTTTTTTAGAGATGGGGATCTTGCTGTGTTGCCAAGGTTTGTCTCGAACTCTGGGACTCAAGCAATCCTTTTGCTTCAGCCTCCCAAAGTGCTGGGATTACAGGCGTTAGTCACTGTACCTGGTCTGGACTTGTGATTTAAGTTGAAATATCAACAGATGCTAAATTTATTTTAATTTGAAAAGTTTAGCCTGCTCGGTAGCTTGGGAGCGGCCACTGCAGTCCAGTCTGGATGACAGAGTGAGACTCCAACTCAAAAAAAAAAAGAAAGTTTAAGGTAGGTTTACACTTATCCCGAGTGGCTATTTGCATAATCCCTCCTCTCTTGGGTTATAAACTCTAGATCAGCATCTGCCTTTACTTACCCTTGTGTCCCTATTATACAGGGGGTTCCTGACTTCAAGGAGGTGTTGGTCAATAAAAAATGTGTTGATTGAATGAATATCGACTTTTATTGAGACAGCGTTTTTTTGGGTTTTTTTTTTTAGTCGGAGTCTCACTCTGTTGCCAGACTGGAGTGCAGTGGCTGCTCCTGGCCACCACAGCCTCGCCCTGCTGGGCGCCGGCAATCCTTCCGCCTCAGCCTTCCGAGTAGCTGGAACTACAGGTGCGCGCTACCACGCCCGGCTTATTTTGTTTGATTTATTGTAGAGATGAGGTCTCACCAAGTTGCCCAGGTGGTTCTCGAACCCACGGGCTCAGGCAATCCACTCACCTCAGCCTCCCAAAGGTGCGGGATTACAGGCTGAGCCACCGAGCCCAGCTTTTAATTTTATTTATGGTAGAGACAAGGTCTTGCCAAATTGCCTGGGCTCGTCTCGAATCCACGGGCTCAGGCAATCCACTTGCCTCAGCATCCCAAAGTACTGGGATTACAGGCTGAGCCACTGAGCCGGGTCGGATACTGACTTTTTTTTTTTGAGTTGGAGTCTCACTCTGTTGCCCAGACTGGAGTGCAATGGCTGCTCC